GCTAGCTCCTTTAATTGTGTGTGTTTGAGCTGCATCTTCTTCTTGCATCACTGTTTATCAGTTTAATTTCTAACAAACTGAATTTAAAATAATTTATTCAATCTGGATTGAATTTATCCAATAATCTTATTGGAATTCAGAATATTAAACAGATTTTTAAAATTAGGTGGAAAAAATTTTAGACGACTTGGTGTTGATAATTTGGTATTATTAACAAGAAAATTAAACTTAACAGGAAGAAATTAATCAGATTCATCTAGTAATTCCTACGAATTCCTAAGAATTCTGGTTCGTCCATTTTCCAACAGACATACTGGTTGAATCTATCAGAATTCTTATTAATGCAACCAGATTTTTTTCTCAGTGCAGAAACGGTTGCGTACGATTATTTAGAGAAATTAATACAGTTTTTAATTAATTGTTTCTCTCGAATATGCTATCTTTAGAAAAATCTCTGGAAAAGTATTTTAGATGTGCAAATTCGTCAACGGCTTAATATCCTATTTCGCTTTGAGTTTACCTTCCCGAAATTTACGAAACGAATCCCCGTGAGACGAAATCAGACGGTGGCTTTTACGAATATTTTTTCTCACTGACGCAGCGCATATCTCGTATTTATTGTGTAATCCGGACGACATCGGAGAGATTGAATATTTGCGTACTTCTCCTAGCAAAATCCACGACGACAGAAACGGTTGCGTACAATTATTTAGAGATGAAATTAATACAGTTTTATAATTAATTATAATACCTCAAAGTGTGTCCGATATTACAGGAAAGTGAGGAACAAGGTTAGTGACAAGGAAACTTTGGAATCTCACACAAATTGTATATTATTAATATATAAACGGCACGGAAGTAACTTTAAAAGATCCAATTCTAGATAGAATTGAAAGAGGAAAATGTAAACGCTCAGAGAGAATATAGATTTGAATTATTGCAAAATTTTCTTGAGTTTTCTCTCAGAAGTGTTAAAAAGAAATAAGATAGAAGATAATTATTTATGCAAAAAGAATTTTGTCATTTGACGAAAGAATATTAAATTTATGATATGTGCAATAATAAATTAAAATTAAATAGATTCTATTAGACTTTGAATATTTAAAATTATTTTTCCCTTTATTGCTTCCCTTATTAAATCCTTAAATGTACATTTTCAGCCATTATTTACTTTGAGATAAATTTTATTGAAATAAATAGTAGTATAAAAAACGTAGAATATTTTTTCTAATGAATTTTGCTTCAGTAATTTTCTTCGTGAAACGCACAGATTGCATGTAACAAACACGAGAAATTATTTAGAAACGACGGACTCGTATTTTACATCGTGTTTGGCTTAAACGTGACGACGAGGCCTGAGAAAAAGACATAATCACTTTTCCGCATGGACGTGAAGATGTTCCGTCGAAATATTATCAAGTTGAAAGTGTCGAAGGAGTAAGTCAACATTTCGCGAAAAGTTTGAAAAGGAGTGCATGATTTTTTTATCATAGACTTTAAACGGAATAGAAAAATGAACGAAATGAGGATGAACGAGAGATGGAAACATGATCATAAATAGAGAAAATTACACGCGATATCACGCGAATAAATCATTTGCTAATGCGATTATTCTCGCGAGCTAGATAGAATATCAATCGTAGGCAAATTAAAGGATTGCATTCGAATCTCTCAACAGATTTGCTAAATAAAATGCATCGTAAATTAGATGTGTTTTTTAAAAAGACTGGAAGGATTAATGCTTAGTGCTTTCTCCGGAAAAGAAAAAAAAAACCTTCCTCGATCTCGGAAGGTGCATCAGACGAATGGCAGATACATGGCCATGATTTTACGAAGTGCAATACTTCAATGATTTTCCTTACACGTTTCCTGACACTTTACGAAATGATAAGTGACTAAACTTGATTAAAGTTCTGCTTTTTTGGTATAAAAGTATTTAGTACATTTTTGAATGTTTTTATATCGATGGTAAAATTACGTAACAAAGATTCTCCGATTTGTGTTATAATAAATAATTTTTTTTTAAATATATGTAAAGAATTATATATTGAGAAAACTCTTTGATATACATTTATCTTCTTCGATATATTATATCTTATAAATAATGCTATCTTTTTCTCTACAAAATTAAAAAAATACAATAATCTCTCTCTCTTTCTCTTGCAAGTGATTAGATTATATAACGTATTATTATACGCTATAGCAACATAATTGATATTGGCGTGTCGACGCACGTAGATAACGGGACTGTAGTGATAGCGATAGCATTTTCGTCTCCATAGTGCAAGCGTATGCTTACGCGACACAATAGTCTTTGCACCATGACATCATTGGGATCTTCATACGCTAGTATATGATTCATAGACAACCATAAAGGATGTTGTGAGCGATGTATCGATATATCGTTAAATCCTACCGCAAGGCGAACAAATTACAAAATTCAGAATTAAAACTGAAATTTCGGTGAAAGCCGCTGACCGATTTATATCGGTCGCTTTTAATTAATTAATTTCGTTATGCATATATATATATATATATATATATATATATATATTTGTGTGTGTGGTGAGGTCAAGCGCTTATGTAGATTCCGTATATATTCTACTGAATTTTAATTATTTGATAATGAACACATACAACTATTTGCTCGCGCGAGCGCATATTGTTATATGGAATACTCGCGCATCGAATTGTTGATTTAATTAACTATTAGAATTATCTATTAAGCCGCGGGCAATATATACGGAACGATGCTTCATAGTCTATGCAATCACTTCTACTATATCAGTGTCATTAATCAAGAGCCCGATCATAAGATAAATGTACACGCTGGAAATCCGTACATAAATTGACGTCAAAATTGACCTTGACGCGAGTATCATTGCTGATTTTAAAGCGCAAAGTTAATCATTTTATAGTGATATATATATCTCTCGATGATTATCAAACGCTGTTGATACTATAATCACGATTATTTGAGAAGATATACAAGAGATTCCAAGATAGATTTCCCACTTTCTTGCGTATGGATCCTTCGACTAATTTTAAATCGATCTTTTTCTTAGCAAAAATTTAATTAGATATTTTCTTTTATAACGATTTTCATAATCCTCTGTACTTTAATACGACGTAATAGGAATTTAATTTGCATTAATTACCGCGGCCGCGTTGCATCGAAACTATTTGGAATCGTTTTTACGGGCAAGTTTTTTGTATTAACGCGTTGCTAAAGACGTTGGCGACAGTAAATGAGATTTTAAGGATTCCATTATTCAAGAAGATACTTAAAAACGATAGACAAATTTTGTCTGCCCGCGTTGAATAAAATTGCTTTCGCGACTGAAAACATTCGTTTCTGCTATCCATTCGAAAACTCAGATTAAATGCGACACAATTTTGCGAAAGCTGATGTAAATGTGTTGAATAAAATATTTGAATTAATACATTAAATAAATATTGTGATTGATTATTTCATACGATAAAATTATATAATTACGTGCATTATTGAGAAGAAAACCATAAATCACTTTGAAATATCATTATGCATAATTTGCGAGTAATTAATCACTTTATAGATTATTTGGAATTATATAGTGAATGATTTATCGTTAATATAAAATTAATATAGAACATCAATGATAACAAACGGCACGGAAATGTTATTGATGTCAAATGTATATCATTAGTAGTGTAATGAATATTCATTTATTATTTAACTGGATATCTACACGAATTCACTTTATATTCATCTTTCAGTTCAATCATTCCTGATTGCATTTTAGAATACATTTCGCCGACAATTGCTTCATGATTAACATCAATTTCGCTTTCAAAGATCTTCGTTTAACCTTTAAATTAAGATGATAAAATATCGTATGTGATTAGAGATGTGATTTAAATTATATATAGATTACATATGTAATCTTGTATAAATCATTATCATTTTAGTGAAAACACCAGAACTAATAGAATTATTGTGTCAATTCGAATTAGTGGCGCGTTATTAGATTCTGATTAGATTACGATGGGCTCGTTAGAGAGACGCATCTCCTTTAAAAGAAAATCGGGGTCGTTTATCGCGACATAATCGACAATTATCGACTGCCTTTATATAGACCGATCTAAAAATAAAAAAAGAAGGAACTGCGCGAAGTAACGCATCACTTAGACACCGTGATATGCTTGTGTGCTTGCGATTGTTAGATAACTCAAATTATCGGTGTAGTGACGTAAAAAAAAATTATTTGATAAAAACGTGCGTCAGTAGGTATAGGAATCGCGCGACTTATCGTTTTTAGAAAGAAAGGCTCTCTTGTGAATTCGAGAGATTATTATATAAAGACTGATGCTGCTGGGAAACATTTCAGTCGTTGGAAGAGAACTGTGCAGGAAAAGGAGCTCTTTGAAATAATATTAATCGTTCTTCGCAATTTTTAATCGTAAGCATGAGTAGAGGAAACCGGTTTTTACCCAAATAATTAATTCTAGTAAAGTTTTTTTTACAACAAACCGTTCTGTAAATGATTTCATTTTATTAATTATTAATTATTTGGAATAATTGTGTAATTTATTGGAATAATTAGAAGTCGGTATTTTTTCAAGTTACTTACATTATTTGCAAATATTTCGGAATTCTATTAAATTTAATTATATATAATATATAAAAATAAAAAATATATGTTCCATGCAAGAATGTAGATTGTTTAATAAATATTATCGATCGAATTTTCAACGAACGGACATATAAATTCAATATTTTAAGAAATTGTAAATCGCATTAAACGATCTTCGTGTCCATTTTCATAATGACCTCGCAAATATCGGGCTGATATACAAAGTGGCCTGATATACATACAAGCGAGCAACGATTACTTTTTACTCTCGGGATAAAAGAGGGGTCGGTCGCTCGAGACAATCGACCCTGATCGTCACTCGATCGCGAACGAATATTAACACTACGTACACATCTAACGCCTCTCTCTCTCTATTTAACTCCGCAGGGTTCAAAGATGCCGTTGTCAGAGTTCCGCAAGAAAAAATTACTCTTCGTCTTCAACGCTTTTTTCGGTAAGTATATCATCTTACAAGTAAAACTTTGTGTAAATTCTTTATATCAATAGAAAAATATTAGTTCGCAAAATAACAGTGATATTCACTCTTATTAACGACGAATTAGTGTAAATAAAATTGCTATTATTTTACCAAATATTGCATAAATTTTATTAAAAGTAAATAAAAATTTTCCTGAATATTTATTTATTTATAATAAAAAGTGAGAAACCATCAATCACTGGATATTAAATAATAATATATAATAAATAAATGGTAAATAATAATGAACGATAAAAAACGGTGTTATATAAGGGTTTTTTTTTAGCTTTTTAAACCCAATTTTATGTCATTTACTCAGATGGGATCTCAATTACCTCTTTCTCACGATTGTTAGTATTTTGCGTAATAATAGAATGCACAAAATTTTCGTATACAATTTAAATTATTTTGTTTATTTGTGAAGAAGAAAGTTTTCATTATACTTGTATAATTTATTTTCATTTCTAGTCATCATTGTATTAGAGAAGAAAATAAAGGAAACATATGAGCCGTTTATTTTGAAAGTGACCTAAGTCCATTCATATTTAAATTGAGATATTTAAGAGTTTGCGTTTCAATAAAATTAAAAATATACGTATAAGATAAAAGAAAAATGGACTTAGGCCACTTTCAACATAAACGGCTCATACATTATATGTGAATTTTGGTAAATAACGTATAATAATTCGTCGGTATATCGCGCATTAAGATAAAATTTTTATCACGATAATAAAAATATTTATTAAGATGATAAAAAAATAATTGTACAGATTTCTAATAAATCTATCGCGTTAATTTAGCTTTGTCAATCTCGTTTCAACTTGTGGCATTTCAGCCGTGATTTTCTTTTACTGATACGATTTAGCCCACGTTACTGACCAAACTGCGTTCGACAACGAGCGAACAGTTTTCCCCGACATTTCGAGATAACATTTAACGCGCCCCCGCAGCGCTCGTTGAGCGAAAATCTCTCTCTCTCTCTCTCTTTCTCGCCGCCCGCCGTTCTGTACCTCTCGACAAAACAAATCCTCATCTAGTGCTAACGTAACGAACGAGGTGTCGTTCCTTCCCTGACGGCATTTTCGCCAGCCACTGCTTCGCATTCTCATCTGGGGTTGTCTTGATTCTCTCCTAACGGTCCCTATTTCACTCGTCCCATCTCTCTTTCTCTCGCGCCCTTCGCGAAAAGCTGCGCAAGCCGTTTCGACACGAATGAAATACGGAGTTCGCCCGGAGGGTCGGTTTCGTGGCCTCCCTCTCGCGCGGCTCTTTTCGGGGCGGATGAAAGCGGAATCGGGGTTGCGCGCGCGAGCGTTTTGCGTGGTCTCCGTGTGGCACCTATGTGTCGGCCCATTCGGGCAAGAGGCAGGCTATGTGTGTACACCTATTTATGGTATGAACTGTGGAGAAGATAAACAATGGACACGCCGTCGGGTCCCGTTAAGGGGTCGCTACGCCACGTATGATGTACGCGTTCTAATTCTCCGAGCGCGTGCGTGAGCGAGTATCTTCCATCGGAGTCGGTTTAAGACTCTCTTTTAGCGCCATTTTTTTCTCCTCCTTTATCTTTCAGAAGCCACGTATTCGCGTATCGCGTCGTATCGCGTGATATAAAATATGGAATCACGTCTCGTGCGTTAAATAGAGAATTTCCATTTATTTCACGAGATAAAGTTGCGAAAACTTGTTTGACCACCGAATGGGATTGACTTTTGTTTGCGTATACTTTGAATTGGAAATTATGTCACACGCGAGAAGTAATGTAATGTTGCGAAAAAGTTATATGAGATTACACATTTTCGCGGCATTTAAAATTCGTCATTAAAAAATCTAATTATAATATCAAAACTTTTACTGAAATTTTTATTAATTTTGATTTTTCATTTTTCTCGCGGTTTCAAGCTGCACTTACACTTCTCCCAGGCTCCAGAGATTTTCAGCATCCCTCGAAACACTCGCGAAAACTATGCATACCACTTGCAGGGCCTAATGGATGAAGCGGCCGTGCCTCATAGACGCGTTTTAATGCATATACGTGTTTTTATGATGATACATAATGTAAAAATGCACCGTAATGTGCACCGGGTACAAAGCAGAAACGCTGTGGATAACGAGTAGATCTACGTATGCGTGTAAATATGCGATGATGTGTTCGTTCACGAGCGTCGTGGCAGCTCGTAGCGAGGATCGTGGAGGTCACAAGCGTGCACACGCCTGGTAGCCCTCATTAATCCCTCGTTTTCTTCTCCTCTTTGACCGCTTGGCGATTGGCCGCTAAACATATCCTACGGACGCTTCTGTGGAACTGATTATTTTATCGTGACCTAAGTGCGAAATGAGAGAGAGAGGTGTATGTCGATATATTCGTGTGTTATGTGAATGATTTTTCCGCGTGATAGTTCGTGCGATCATTTTTTTCATTTTATTTCTACTGTTAATATTATGACGTTATTTGACAATTCGTAATTTATCCAGGAGTGATATTTATAACATCAATAATGATAGTTCTATTTTATTTCTACTATTAATATTATAAAGTTATTTGACAATTCGTAATTTATCTAGGAGTGATATTTATAACATCAAGAATACGATAGTTCTATTTGATAATTTGCCATTTTCTTTTCCTATGTTATAATGTCGCGAGATTTCCAAGCATTTGTTCGCGCAAAAAAGTGAATATGTTTTTTTATTATTTGCGCCATCTTGCTACTAAACGTACTCATCAAACGAGAATCCGATTCATCGATTTTTAATCTGTTCCGCGAGTTCAGAGTTTTTGCAACAAGTTGTGCCGTTAAAAGTAACCGGTTATATTTCCGGACGTTGTTATTAATTATTTCATCGTGCCCTTGGTTTGTCAACCGTCTAAACGGATGCTGGGGAGACAATAAATTCTGCCTCGTTGAATCGTAATCGGCGCTTAACAGGATTCTGGCTACGGAAGCCCGGAAAGAGTGAAATGGTAGTTATCTTCTTCTTTTCTACACTGAAACGGAATTAATAGGCGACAAGCCGAGCGGAAACCACGCGAAAACGAATAAACCCGTGATGAAAATGGGTCATCTTCAGAAAACTAACGATATCCGATCGTAGCCAAGCGATGCCAAAATCGAGTGGCATGATCGTTTATCTTGTCATCCGCGAGAGAATGTATGTTGCTCCTTGGAAATGTTAGCGACAGCTGAGGCAGTCACATTTTATCCGTAATAACAAAGTAGTTGCAACAAAATTCAACGCATAAAAATTTCTGCATGTTGGATATAATTAAATTATAAACCGAACATCATTTGAGCGAAAAAACATGTTGAAATATCAGATAACAATGCTCTGCTGTTATTTTTTCCCAGATGTTAATGAAAGTGGTACCATCGACATAAAGGATTTTGATCTCGCCGTCCAAGTAAGCTATTGCATGTAAAATTAATTGAATTACTGTTTCACCGAATACATATATAATATTCTTTCATATTATACTTTTACATTTTTTTTTTAAAGTCAAGTATATAAAGGTACATTAATTTCATAAATCTTATCAAAACAACAACAAATCTAATTTATATAATTTACAGTTAAATTATACAGTTTAATAAATTTGAACAATTCGATTATTTAATTAATAATTGTTTTTATCTGCGCCAATAACGCTGATAAATCAAGAATATCCAAGAATTCTAACTGATTCGCTCTTATTTTGCATTACAGCGAATTTGCAATTCCAAGCATTGGAAGCCGGACGATGCCACATCGCAACATATTAAGGACACTTTGACTAAAGTCTGGGAAGGATTACAACAACGAGCCGATGCCGATCAGGATGGACAGGTATTAACATTTAAATTATCCTTAGCTATTTTAATTACAAAATCAAGTTATGATTTCTCTTTCTGGATTTTAATATATATATTTTTTTTCTCTTTTTCTCTTTACTTTGAAATAACTTTCTAAATTTTTAGCATACTTCCGTTCCACTTTCTGCCTGTGTTTATCGATTTTTAAAGTGTTTTTGCATTCATAATTCTTGAAACAGTCTCTTGGCTGTGTTTGCTTGTATATTTGCGTTTTACTCCGCAACCTAAAGGAATATTCCACGATATTTCACGACATATGGTTAAAATTTAAAACGACATACGGGAAACGCAGATATAGCTTGCTGATCAGAAACGAATATGTATGTGTACGCGATATTAACTCGTCGCGCATCTTTCAGATCAGCCGAGACGAGTGGTATTCGATGTGGGAAGAGTACGCGAAAGATCCAGCACATGCACTCGAATGGCAACAAATATATATGAATTTCATGTTCGATCTCGAGGATTCATCCGGTAAGTTTCGAGTTCCGTTCCCTTGATAAACACGTTTATATTCACGAGCCGGTTACGCGCAACTGTAATTCATTACACGCATTCGCGTTGAGATTTCAGAAATACTAATGTAAGCGTAATTACTCGAGCAGAAAATAACTGGGAAGGAAGTATGTATCATTAATTCTGTCCTCTTGTGTAGTTTCGCGAATTAAGTAAATACGTATTTAGTACATGAGCCTCCTAGAGATTGCTCTGTTTCGTAAACCCGTTTCACTTTGCGTTTTCTCAACAGTATTTATGCAAAATGAAAAAAAAAACTCCGTTTATAAAATGTATGATTTATATTTATTTATGTATTATTTACATTTTTCCAACGTATGTAAAAGTAAATATGATGTAGATAATTTTCATCGCGTATAAAAGTAAATATCTTGTAAATAATTTTTTTATAATTCTATATATTTTTTATAGTTACAGGAGGTATATGACTTAAATATATTTTTGAATAACTTGAAGTTAAAACTTTTATTTTCTTTTTATTATTTTAACAATATATTGCATGAAGAAAATTCTGTAAAACTGATAAACTAAAATTAATAGGCTAAATCGGGTTAAAAATGAGTGACGGTTTCGAGAGTTCGAGGGTTAAAAATCTATAAATAACAATTAAGCGATATCCCTTTTACTCATTATCCCTCATTCATTCATAAAAATTCCTAATAATATACCTCACCTCGCCTTTGCATATATATTTGTCGGCGATTTTTACCTTCGGTCCCTCATAATATATAAAATAGTAGTCTGAAAAACTCGAATCCGATCTATCCCGTATCGTCAGGTGACGGATCGATCGACGAGACCGAATTCAGTAAGGTGTGCAGCAGTCACGGCGTTGACGAGGCCGAGGCACGCGAGGCGTTCAAGAAACTGGGGGTGGTGAGTATCAATCAAGCGGAAAGAAAGGAAAATAAAAAGAAAGGCATAGCGATATCGAGCCTTACAAAACTGTTTACTTCTTCGCAGGGTAAAGAAGTGACTCGCGAAAAATTCGCCGATCTATGGAAGCAATATTTCTGCTCCGACGACCCGAACGTACCTGGAAACTTTATATTCGGAAAGACTTCTTTCTAACTCCGCTATCCCGTGAGATTGAAAAAAAAAACACGCGCATATATATATATATATATATATATATATATATATATATATATATCATGGGAGGTTATTTTATGTAAACCTATGAATTGCTAAAGAGATAGCAACCCTGTGTAATCTACTAGTCAAAATTCTATTTCGTTTATTGCTCTCCCGTGTAACCTCTCACACACATATTGAAGTAATCTAATTACAATTAAAAATCGAGAGAACTTTATATTATTTTCTTGATCACTATTTTCCGTGTTGTGGTGTGTTTAAATCTGTTACTATTAAAACATGACTTTGAAAGAAACTTGGCGTGAAAATTTCATTTCCAGTTTCATTTACTCCGTTATCGATACGCAATAAAACACAGAGTTAACGGCAACGATTAAATCTAGCTTGCAGTTTTGCTTTTCGTTGCTCTATATAACACGTTGTCCCTTTTAACGCAACTATCAATTCCAAACTCCCCCGCTTTCCATTTTTCTGACATTCTACACGGCCGAAATATTTCGAAAAAATCTAACAAGGTGTATTAATTTCTTCGACTGCGAACTTTCCTATGCTAAATATATTTCATAGTGAGTACGTGCTAGGATTTAAGTATCTTTACGGCGCATATCGATCCATCGTCGCCGAAGAGCTAATTACGTCGTATAACGTGTAAATAAACGCCCTTGCGAATTATAAAAATGGTTATGCTGTTTCGATACGCGAAGAGAGATGCGACCGGCGATAATTTGGAGGTGCGTTTTTCGTTTGCATAATTACTAATAAATCCGTCAAAGTCTTTTTTTTTTCTTCTGATCTTGCCGATCTCGTTTTGAATACATGTTGATTATAAATATGACATCCGACAGCACAATTCGCCGAAATTGATTGGCACTTGACGTTGGAGAAAAAGCGAGATTTCTCTCTGGTCTGCGAGAAGATATTTGGAGAACTGAAAACAAACGGTACCAAACACGCGCACCTCTTGCAATCATGGTATGTTTTTTTACAAAGCACTACGCTCTCATTCGATTTATGGTGCCGCCCTTTGTTCTTGTCTTATACTCTTCTTCCTTTTATTTTGCTTTTAAAATTTCAATTGTTTCGTTTCGGTACATACAAATATTTTCGCATTGTTGAAAAGGGGGATTTGATTATATTACGAGCAGCTGCATGCGAAAAAAAGAAACTATCCGGAAAAAATGAAGAGGAGATTAATCAACGCACGCTATTCGATTGATTGCTCAGCAATGCAATGATGCGCGGGATTATTGTTACATTGCGTTCGTATCGCGAATTAAATCGCGTACGTGGAATGAGAATTGAATTTTACACGTATGATCGATTCAATCAACTGGCGATTAATTGATGCCATGTTGATACTTCACCGTTAATTGCTGGCACGTTCTATTACAAACTTGTGACAAAACTTCTGTTGTGCGTAGCCAACATCACATATACACATATATTGTTTGTGTCATTGTATACTATATAATTAAGAATATATTCGCATCGTATTATGAAATTAATAGATGTCTTTCGGGAATTAATGTGATTATCGTAATAATGAGTGTGCGTCGTATAATAAGAGCAAAACCAAATTGTTTGCGAAACGTATGAAATTTTTATTTGTGTATTTTGATATTAATTTCCATCAGCGAATAATTCTCTGTTTTACGGGACTGAGACAATGATAGAGAAATTGTATTCTTTAGATTCGCTTTAATTATCGATCACTGCCCGTAAAGAGACAAACATAACATATATCGAAACAGCAGTACATTTAATCTATCGAGTGTGTAAATAATAATAAATCACGAGAAATATTTTCCGTACTTGTTAGAAAGTAAATGTATTGAGATAATAATCCTTGAATTCTCGTTCGTCCGCCATAAGTCACATAACGATCAAACGAATATATACGACGCGGCTATAAGAGAGAAATACGAATGTAATGAAACACTCGATGTCAATTGAAAATGTCCAGGCACGGATTAAGTGGCATGTTGAATTTTAATGAAATGCTCAAAAACATGCTGTTTACAATTGTTGTTTATAATTGCTGTTCGTAAAACGCTTTATTTTATTTTCCTTTGTCAATTAGTCATCATATGCGAAAGAAATAATTATCGGTAAATTTTCATATAATTTTTGATCAATATGCTATTACGTTAATAAATTATGCCTACAATTTATTCGATAATGCAACTTTTGGCAAAAATTGGCGGCTTTTCTTCAGCAGAAAATTAGATTGACTCTATCATTTTTTACATTTTATAATAAATTCTTTATAATAAAGATTTATAAACTCTCTTTTGCAGAATATAATTTATGCATATTCTAAATATAAGAATCGAAGTATCTTAACCTGTGCCTGTAGTGATATATATGGTTTCGTGTTAAAAGAAGCATTTATATGCTTACTTGTTGTAATAAACATGTACTATTCCTGTTCCTAAGAGATGCATATAAAATATGTTATATAAAAGTATCACAGAGCATGTCCCTATACGTGACAGATCGACGAGAAAGAAAATATAAAAAAATATATATACTGTATAAAAATTAAAATTGAACATTTCTTTTTTTCTTTCAATGAAAATACCAATCCTAATCCCATTCTATTTATAGAATAAGTGATGTACACTGTACCAGCATATATACGGTTAATTTGTGTAATTTGTGTGTCATTAACTTAATAACCGTTATGAAATTACTATAATAAAACATAATAAAACATAGAAAGCATGGGTATTATACAATTGCGTATCCTTAAAAAAAATAGTTAAATAAATTGTTGCCATTGTCCACTGAACTCATTCCATTCATGTTACTTCTACGTTCTTTATTTGCTTGATTAATTCCACCTCGAGATCAAATATTCAAAGATGGGAAATATCTATCATTACATGCATTACAAGTTAATGTAAATAAACTTATGCCTGCAACTAAAAGTCAAATAAAATAACGTGGCGTGTTAATTTACATAAGTAGCTTAATAGCGGTATTAAAATATTTAAGCTCAAACAAACTTTAACGTCTGCTTCATTTAATTGCAACATATCGATGCAAAATGCGACAATGAAAAAGAAATGTAAACAAATTATATAAATGAATCAATTAAATTTCTTTTCTGAGTATTTAAATGTATATAGATTATTGTATATTATATAATAAAACGCATACACAAATTTATCAATATATTATGTTTATCAATCACAATGTGTATTTCAAGAATTGTCGTAATAATGGATAAATAAAAAAATGGATAAATAAAAAAAATTTGAAAATCGCTTCTAAAAAACGAGAATTCTTATATTCAAATATCAAAAAAGATTATATGTATGAAAAATCATTAAAAAATTATTTAAAGACATCATATCATATCTTTTATACATTTGTGCTGTCTTTGGAAGTAGTAAAAGTTAAAACACAGTACAACAATATTTTCATTCTGCGCATGTCATTAGATTAGAAGTGTGATTAATAAATTAGATATATATAAGATATAATAAAATAGATATCCTAATTTTCAATTTAAAAAAATAGATAGATTCCACTGTAAACAAGACAATGAAAGATGTCGAGATAGATATACACACATAAGTAATAATTATTGTATCATGTTATTAATTGACAAATAAGAGATAATAAATAGTAATAGGCCAGAAAGAGCACTAACCGGTGAGTAAATGTATTTATTATATATTATATATATCCGCATATCTTTTTAAGTCGCGATAATACACACATACATATATATTGTATATACGTACACATATAAACGCATATATACATATTACAATTTTATCCATTATCACTTGAGCGGTGGCTCCATCTCATTTGCATAAACTGAATTGTAAGGTAAAGTTCCTTATCCATTCCGGGAAGGTTCGAAAATAAAATAAAAAATGAAAATTCTGTGAACAATTGAATGTTAATTCGGTTTAATGAGCGCAAAACGTAAGTCGATTGCATGAAAATTATATGAGAATACAAACAAGTAAAGTGACATTAAAAAAAAAAATTCATATTTAATTCGAACGGATTAATGAGTCTTATTCTCCCAAAAAATAATTCTTGTTTTGATAAAAAAATATGACTTGCTGTTTGTCTCTTGTTCGTTCTCAGTCTCTCAAAATTTGTGTCGTCACGATGTTTGTTCTCCCGCGAGCACGTGCACTTTATATAACCTCTGTAAGTCTCTAATCTTACAAATCGCGTTGATTTCCTATACATTCATACCATATTTTCACGATGCTTTCGAGAATACGTATTTGTCTCTCTCCTATCTTATCACTTCCCTGTCCAATATGTGATAACTTTACCTGACCAGACCGATTTTCAATGAAAGTTATAAATCTTGTGTGACAAGTCACTATGAATGTGATATTTATTTTATATGAAAAGAGATTTTTTTGCTTGAGTGTACATCTATTTTCCAACATCAGTTTTAGATTTTTAATTAAGGCTTGATAAGTGTTAGAAACTAGGAGTATTATCAAATACATGGTCTTTTTATCATATTAGTCTTATAAGGTGATGTAAAAATAAGAATGTGAGTAAAATGCGCTTATTTATGGCTTATATTTGTGCATTTACATTATTTATTATATTTATATTATTTGTATTTCATTATTTATTATGTTCTTGTGCAATCAACGGTTAATTACATAGTATTCTGTAATTATAATATCTACTTGCTTTAAAAAAGTTTACTTTTTATATTGAATTATATTTATAATAATATATGTCTTTTAATATAGTAATATTTCTTAATAATTTTTAATTTTATATTCTATTATAATTCACATGTTATAAATAAAATATATAAATTTAGTCTTGCACAGTATTATTTTGTGCAGTACTTTGCAATTAATTATAACTCATGCATAATTAACATCAAATGCAATATCTTATATACAGTTTACAAAAAGGTTTTGCTAAAAGGTTTTGCTAAATTTTAACAAATTCTTTATAAAAATGATATTATATAGTATTTGTATTTAATATATGAATTATATTTGCTCTTTTGCTTTCTATACTTTTCATTATATTCTTATTATATTTGTTACATGTGTTGTTATAGGTCAGGCAAGATAAAACATGAGATAAAACATTTGTTGAAAATAAAAGAGGAGGAAGAATATGCCATGACTTGTCTAAGGACATATATACATGTGGATAAACATAGTAGACAATTATCAACTTCAGATGATGCATCTGCGAAGCAAATTGATTCTTTGTCACTTGCATATGAAGGTCTTTTTACCATGCCTTATAACATTATACAAGATTATGGTTTCATCATAGAACATTTAGATATTAGTCATAATGTGTTCAGCAGGTAAGTGAATATCTATAAAAGCGATACATATAACAAAATTTGCAAAAAGATATTAAAAACATTTGATTTTTGCTAATATAGTGGCAGTAGAAATAAAATAAATTATTCTTTAAAATTCCAGGAATTTACAATTTTTATCAGAGTTTGACAACTTGAGATCTCTCAATTTGGATCACAATAAGATAGATGATACTACTATATTCCCATACATGCCAAATCTTGAGCTCCTCTGGTTAAATCATAATTACATTAAAAATCTACATCCATTTATTAAGAATCTTCATAAGAGTATACCAAATCTTAAATATTTATGCCTCATGGGAAATGAAGCGGCACCTAGTTATCTTAACGGTGGAAGTTTTTTTGAATATCTTCAATATAGGTATGTTAATAGAAAATATTTCTTCAAATTTTATTTTTTAAGTCTTATTCCTATCTATTTAATATATTTCTTGTTTTAAATTTAAGTTATAACGTTAAACTTTTTAAAAAGGTTATTTGTGCTATCTTGGTTTCCACATTTGGTGCACTTGGATGATAGAACAGTGAATGACGAGCAGCTATTAGAGGCCAAGAGACTGTTCAAACGACCACTGTTTGAAAATACAATAGAACTGCCAGAATGCTTTAAGGATTTGCATAATAAAATAAATATCTTTTCCAAGCCATCAATGCCTGATGGACAAAAAATGTCAAAAGAAACAAATTTTATTATTTAAACAGTATTATTAATGCAGCTCAAAGGAAATTGATTATGAGAGAATAATTGATTACAAGGAAATGATTACGAGAAAATTGATTATAAGGAATATTGATTACGAAATATTCTTTTAAGAAAGAAATGAGATTACGATACTTTGTATCCCATGGAAATATGTGCCAATTATGAAAGCAATATGGAATACTATGTTTTATAATACGTAAGCGTTTTTTTTATAATTTAAGTTTTTATATTTGTACTATTATATTCAAGCTGCCTATATATATATGTTAATATATATATATATATATATATGTATATATATATATTTATTAATATATATATATATATAGGCAGCATATATATATATATTTATATTGATATATATATATACATATATACATATATGTATACCAACAAATAATTCCCATATATTCTATATACATTTTATATTTGAAATCAATTTTTTTAAATTATATTCTGCTTATGAAAGCATTATTATATACATTTTATTCACACTGGGTACAAGTGTGTACCTTATTTATGTATTTTAAATAGAAAGTTCTAATATGAAATCTTTTTGTAAACTGCATATATGACATGAATATTATTTTATACAATATATATGTATTTTACACATTATATATGTGCATGTGTCAGTGATGGTATATTTTTATGAGTGATATTTGATAAAAATAAAAATTGTTATACGTATATTTGAATATTTTATCTTTTTGTCAAGTAAATTCCAAATTATTTGCATGATAAAATGTCTATATAATTTTGATAACATGTATATATCTGACAGTGCTTGTGATCATCAGTACTTTAGCGAGAAAATAATATGAATTATTCAAAGATGATTTTGATTGATTCGAAGTAAATCATTGATCGAACAAAGCTATTATTTGACATAAAATTAAAATTGAATCTAATAGAGTCATTATATTTGACATAAAGATCAAGAAATAAAAATTGATTTTATTAAAAATTATTTTATTAAACGTATTGGAGAAAGAAGGCGGTCGAATTAGATATTATGAGAGACATATCGATGCAATTAATTTGGCATGTATATTACATACCTTATTAAAATCCAGTTGAATTTTCTTTGCATTCCAACGAGAATAATGGTGAAACAGTGGTGAAGAGGAAATCCAAGGCACACAAGAACACTAATCACTGATACCGAAATCACGTTACGCGATCACACTCGATATTCAACGCGTCTACGACATTTTAGAGGCACTCGCGATAATTTTTTGCGTGCAAAATTCACTTTTAAGCAAAAATAATCGCGAGAAATACGGAGCACTTCGGATTCGAGTCCATCAATTGTGGCGCGATTCAGTAACTTCAGCGATTCAAATTTAAAAGCGAGGCTGTAATTGGTTCACACTTTAATCTTTGATACTTTGGTAATCGTGAGAGGGCTCTGTACAGATTTTAATAATCAATCATCGAAAAGATCGATTAACATAGAATGCGCTTCACTCGGTGAGACAAATCCTTCAAGTAATATTTAAACTGACCAATCAGGAGAAAGAAATATTTGTCTCTTTTATCCCTTTTTATTGACCGATTAAAAAACCCGCTCTGATTTAGATTACAATTTGAAATTTATAATTTATAATTTATTTGTAATTTGTAATTTGTGTGATCATTATCGAATTGAAATGTAATATGTGAATAAAAAATATGAGAAAGAAAGAAAGAAAGAGAAGAACATTATTCGATTATTGAAAATTATTAATTGAAAATTTGCGAAACGATATATACAACACGCATATTTCGAATCTATTTTATGTATCTATTATATGTATAAAAGACATCGGAATCTCTTTATGTTCGATCTAGACACTTTCGTGTCAAGCATTCGGCGTATACTAAATATTTTGCTAGCGTTAGCGGACTGAATATCATATTGTATTCGTTCTGCGTGAGAGAGAGAGAGAGAGAGAGAGTGCGCGCGCTTTTGTTTATGTTGCCGCGGCCGCGGCCGCGGCCTTGACATTCTTGTGCCGAGCCTCGCGGCGCGATGTCTACGTAGTTGTATTGTGTTAGTAGCCGAATGTAACAAGGATGAAATGATTACACTGTGTCCTCTGTATCTCTTGTTAAAGAGCGCCCATTCTTATTCGAACTACGATCGCGAGAAGATATCTGGATAACTGGAGATGGCAAATTTGATTATTAATAATACGTAACGAGTAAATTAATTCCCGCGACAAACGATGAGATTATCGCGGTAACAGCTATTTATCGAAGCATTTATTTTACGTATACTATTATATTATTTTCTATTTAAAACAATCTATTTTTTAATTGGAACAATATAAAAGATGTAAATTAGTAAGCTGTTATTTTATCGCGATATATATGTATATATATATATGCAATATATAATTATATCGTAAATTGTATTCCATAAAACGCTACAATTCAAATCATTGCAAACGCTACAAACGTTACAAACGGATACGATCGAAATCAAATTCACAAAGTCGGATGCTAATTAATAAGTAATATATACAAAATATATCTCAATATCTATAATTACGTAGCAAAAATTCGTAGCATTTATTTATTCTGCTAATTATTAAAACATGTATTTTACATCATTATTCGTTCACATAATTTCATTCAAATAAAGCGCGAAAGATCGATAATCCCTAATTGCTAATGACAGTTGGCATCACTGCGTTAATTTGCGCGTTGCTTCGAATTTCATGTCGTATAGTTATAATTGTCGCGCGTCGTTCTCTCCAGTTTTCTCAGATATATCAAATCTCGCGTACAAAAAAAAGTATCGCGCACAAAATATCGCGTTGATTAAAATCGAGAGTCACAATCGAGATACACAAAAGTCGCGTACGATTTACGGCGGAAATATCGTTCAAAGTGTCGCGTGATTAAGATCGGGAGTGCGTGAAAAGCCAAAGTGTCGAGCGATTAAGAGTGTCGTATGAAGATCGCGCACGATTTATGTCGGAAGTGCCTTTTCAAAATCGCGCGATCATTTTATTTATTTTATTATTTCGCCGCGTGATCGTAATTAATCGTGCTTTCGTGAACGTGTGCTGTGCAAGTGCCAAAGACGCAAAAGAGGTAGAAAGGAGAAGGAGAAGGAGAAGGAGAAGGAGAAGGAGAAGGAGGAAGAGGCTTGGGGGGAGGCATCGGGCAATGGCAGCGCAATTATATGGTAAGAACAGATTATTACTTATTTATTATTATAGCATATATATATATATATATGTATATATATATATATATATATATATATATATATATATTACAGCAGATTATTACTTATATCGTTTATAATTTATTACTTGTAAAATTATAAAAATGACTCATTTTTCCCGCAGTAGTGATTCATTTTATTTTAACATTCATATATAATTATAATTAATGTTATATATAAATTCTATGCATTATAATATAATGTATAAAAAGGATTCTATATTATATTATATATTGTATATTTTGGAGTTTTCAAAATTTTCAAAATAATTTTTAATAAATAAGTTATAGTAAAATTCTCATAATGCATACACATAATTTCAATATTATTTATATAGTTTATAACTATTTAAATTTATTTTTCATATAAAAAGTATATTTTAATTTATATATTTTATAAAAATTTTAAAAATTCTAAAAAATTTTATAATGATTTTTATGATGAAAAACTATGATTATTCATTAATATTATATTTATAATACGAATAAAAGTTTGGTTGCGCGCCATTATTTTTTTTTTTTAATATTATTTATTTCACGAAATTTCTTTATATATATATGTATATATATAATATATGTTTTTTATGTGTTCTAGGCCAACATTACTACTCCGCTTCTGCGTATCCGTGAGTACACTACATATATATATTAATAAATATACAGATTGATTACCAGAAATTAATCAGAGCCTAATTCAAAGAAAAAAAGCGTTAAGAAAATTTATTTGATTAAAAGATCGATTAACTTTTATATTAAAATATTTGAATAAGAAATCGGCAATATGTTCCGCGAAGAAATTTTCTAATTTATGTTGTTTACTTTTGGTGTTTCCTACATTGATATTTATCTTGCTGACATTACGATGGTAACTCAATTTTCTGTTAATGCATGGAAATTCGATCGCAATATTGTGTTTGCTTTTCGAATGTAATTTACACGACTTCTTCAACTGAGACGTGCATGCAATGTTAACAGAATTCATGAACTAATGTAAGACTCGAGAGAATATAAGCGACAAAAGAGCGTGACACATGTGACATAATGTTATATCAAATCATCGCACATGCATTATTTAGTTAATGAATCATATAATTTTAACAAAACTGGAGAACTAATTTCGAGAGAAAATATGTTTCTTTATTGTATGCTAGTTTATCCAAAATTGGTCTAAAATTAATTCTCATAATTGTCATAATTTTATACACATGTGCATGTATAATACTAGATATTGTATGATATATTTAATAACATGAAATTTAATTGCCGATTTGTCCTGGTATTTTCACAGTTCATGCATATGCATAGAATTTTATATTAATTTTTATTCATTAATTATTATCTCGAGATAATTTAATTTTAAAAATAATCTTTATATACTTATCAAATTATTTCTTATAATTAATTACGTTTATTTAATAACATACTATTTTATTTATATTATAATTATATAATAATATACTATTTTTTTTATTAAATTGATTGCGATTTAATTGCAATAAAATCTTGTACAGTTAAAAAAACGGATCATTATTTTGATTGATATAATGCAAATAAAAATTCTGGATTACATCCATCCTACATTTTTGTGATTACGTTAAGGAAAATTTTTATTCCGTTGTCTGTTATAATATATATGATAAATAATTTTATTTTCGTGAGTATGTTTCGACATATAATTAAATTTTCACACAAAAATGAACAGAAAATTGTTTTTTTCATTCTTTTCGCTATTGAACGAATTCTTTATTATGCGTATAAATATATTGTATGAATGTTAAAATCACTGTTTAGAATAAAAATAAGAATGGCAAAGAGTAGAGATCCTTAGCATGTACGTATATCAAAAAAATGTGTAGTAATTAATCCGTGCGAAAATATATAGATCAGATATATATATAGAAAATATATATAGATCACATATATATATATAGATCAATGATCAATAATAATTGTCTATTCACATAATTCAATAAAAAAATCGAAAGTTCGGAAGTTTATTATATCCTGCAAACACGTCTACATAAATATATGAAATCTCTCGGTTTGTGGTACTAGCGAAAAATTGATAGGAAACTCTCGAAAAAATCGTTTTATTTTCTGTAAAATATTAGATATTCGAAAACGTAAAGTGTGAGATTAAATCTCCGTTATCTGCATATTCCGCGGTATGCAAGATTCATTTCGGATCAGATATTCGATATCGGTTTCATGAATAAAACATTCAGCCCAGTGAAATGCACTCCACGTTTCGTTCTCACGCTTACCTCGTATACATTACGCAAAATCGGTGTCGCGCGAAAATCCATTTAATCGTAACATCGAACGTGATCGCGTCGCAATTGTCTTCCAGTTGCGCGACAATAATCTTCGTACGGAATCTGCACATATGTGTGTATGTGTTTGCAAAAGGATTTGTCGTCTAGCTTACTTCTTTATTAGCAATGATTTTGCCAATCCGCGGTAGTTCGTATTTTATTATTGAAGATCTGATTTTACTTGCATCATCGACTAGTAATAATGCCGATTTCAACTAGATTTTTCTCATGGCGAACAAAAAAAACGGATATTATTTTTTTCGACAAATCTATCGCGAACTCCATGAGAAAAACACGTATTTATATCATCAATAATTAATACGAAAAAATTAGTCCCGAATTGTTGAGTACAAAGAAATGCGAATTTTATACAAAAAAAAAATATGATATAATTATTTAAAAAAAATGTTACAGTATTGTTTTAAAAATAATATTATTTATATAATCTGCAATCTATACGAATGGTTTCAAAATACATATATCTTTGATTGGAAATTGTTCTAAATCTATATATTATATGTACGCAACATTGTATTATATTTATTCATAAAACTTTTTAAACACCCATTAGGTTAAACCAACGAAGTTATGTGACATGTCTTTAAATAAGTTTTAAACTTGGAGTAATTATCTGATTAATAGCGTATTAAGCAACTTTGAGTAGATAATTTGGTTATGCTTGTACGCTTAAGGGAATACGTGTCTTTAGATATTTAATGAACAAGAAACTACGAGATAAACTTGGAAGCGTATAACTAGAATTGAAATTTATGTTAAGAATCGCATTTGCACTTCCATAATATGAGATTTATTGCTGAAAATTTATTGTATAGAGAAATAAAGGAAATTTTTTCGAGATTTTTTTATTATGTGATAGTTGCCTAAAGTTATATAAAATCATATTGAACATAGACAGTATTGATAGATCATATTGATATTAATTATTCTAATGTTAATTATTTTCTTTTTTCTATTTGCATGATATATATTGTGTGATATATTATAATTAAGAGAAATTGCTGATTATTATTAATGTTGCATAATATATATTATTACAATACATATAATGTATAATATAAAATCAATTTTTATATTGAAACAAGATTTTTTTAAATTATTAATGCAATATAATTCTTTAGATCTAAGAAAACTTCTTTCATATTTTTTGAACAATTACATAAACAATTATACTTTGTATAAGTATTTGAAATCTCTTTCCTAATATATAAGTTGAAAGGTAATGTTAGATATGTTTTTTTGTTTTCTCATTAAATCATTCTCATTGGATACGTGTATAAATGGATACATTTTATTATTACTTGTAAAAATTAGCAATGCAAAATAAAAATATATTTAAGTAAAGACAAAATATATACAAAAAATATTTTATGTTTATGACTTGTTATTTTAATTTCAACTACATTTTTGCTGCAATCTTGTTAAATTAATCTTGTTAAATTAACGTTAATATTAATCTAGTATTGGGTCTGTTCATTTTAGCTGCACTGCTGCACTAGTGCAATTAGTTAGAGTGAAAGAAAGTATGTTTGTCTTTTTCTAACTTATTGCACTAGTGCAGTAGTGCAGCTAAAACGAATAGACCCATTTTAACATGTTTTGATACTGACGTATTAACTTTTTAATTATACAAACGGGAAAAGAGTCACATATATTTGCATATAAACTTAAAAACCACTATGGGAACAACTCAATATGCAACTTGAAAATTTATTTTACAAAACACAGATGCATTATTAGTGTCTCTTTGTGACAAAGTCCCTTCGCTCTAGGTATTCCTTTTAATGGTGCACACCAGGAAAAGGTACACCAAGAAAAAAGAAAGAATTTTTGCTATAGTGGTTTTGCTTAAGACTTATAGGATTTTTTACTATAGTGCGTTAAACTTACAGAGCAAATTTTTATTCCTCGGATATTGATGTACTATTACTTATATATTATTTCTTTTATATTTCTTAAACTTAAATTATCTGGCATATTGTTCAAATTTTGGAAAATTATAGACATTATAACACAAAGTATACTTTATAATATATTCTACAGAGTGGTCCACGTAAAGTGTTACAAATTTATATCTCAGAAACGAAACAATTTAGAGAAAAATGTTTCAGACAAAAGTTGTATGGTTTCGAGGGGGACATAAGATGGTGCCATTAGTTTGACTTTGAAGAGTCACCTGAAGGTCATGTCACTTCCAACTTTTTAAATGGGACTATATGCTTTTGCATATTCTTGTAGCTGATTACATTAACGAATGAATAGATTATCTAGCAATGCTACAGTTTTTTTTATATCGTAAATTACAAGAAAACGATATGAAAGCGTTTGTGATTTTGACGTGGGTCTTAATATTCATTCTACGTTACTGTGATCCCTGTGTGGAAGAGAAGGGTAGAAAAGAAACCTGAGATCCTTTTCATTGTAGGACATTTCTAGATCATCTATGTTTGTAGAAACATTTATCTAGATATGTATATATATATATATATGTTGTTCTACCGTTCATTATAGCGTGGATTGTGTTATTTAAAATTTGCTCGTTTCATCTTGTGATCTTGTGACGTTATAAAAAGAAAGTACGTACTCTTTATGCATATTTATTTAATATATTTTTTATATTAATTTATACGCGTAGCTGTCTATCGACATAAAAGTATTTTTGTAAAATTGTCTTTATATTGAATTATTAATATAAAGTCTCGTGTTTCATACTTTTTCTGTAATGTTATTTCTGTTTTCGTATAGGTTGAGGTTGTACACGTGCATATATATAAAATATACATATATATAATATACACATATATAAAACATACAGAATGACTATTCCTGACAATGATGAAAAAATATCTATTCCTGAATTTATTAAAAAAAATGATCAACTTATGATGACATACAACATGTATATTAAAAATAACGTTCATTATCGATATGAAATTGTCAGGTTTAATACTTTCAAAAATTGGACCGTACCGTACGTAAAATCTGAGAAACTTTCGGCAGCTGGTTTTTATTTCACTGGCCGAAATGAGACAATTAAATGTTTTGATTGTTACCTAGAAATATCCAAATGGCCGAATGGAGTCAATGTAGTAGAAAATCACATACTTTTTTCTCCAAAATGCAGATTTGCTCGTAAAATTTCTTGTGATAATATACCAATCGAGAATAAAAAAAACATTTATGATATGGAGCATAATGAATTTATGTTAAACAGAAAAATAGCCAAGCATCCTAATTATCGCTTTTATCAAACTCGTTTTAATAGCTTTATATCATGGCCTTTAGTGAAAATCCAAACTGGTCAGCAATTAGCGGAGGCGGGATTTTTTTATACAGGACAAAAGGATAAAGTAGTTTGCTTTTATTGCGGCTTAATTTTGAAGGAATGGACTGATTACGAGGATCCTTGGGAAGCTCATTATAAATGGGCTGCTACATGTTTTTATATACTCACGATTAAAGGAGAAGATTATTTGGATAGTCTTCATAAAGATGCTTATGTGAGCACGTTCTTAGTATTTAAATTATTAAATTATACATTTAAATTATATGATATATATTTCTTTCTAAAATAAATATTTTTATTTAAAGGAAAGAGAAAGAAGGATGGTACATATTAGTGTGAGTATTTTCTTAGATTATTTAAATTATAATATATATATATATATATATATATATATATATATATATATATATATATATACAGGGTGTTTCATTTTAATCCGACCACCTAAATTTCTCGGAACCTAAGCAAGATAGAGAAAAATGTTTTAGACAAAAGTTGTATGGTTTCAAGGGGGACATAAGATAGTGTCATTAGTTTGATCTTGAAGAGCCACTTGAAGGACACGCGAAGGTCAGCTCCAACTTTTTAAATGGGACACCCTATATGCTTTTGCATATTCTTGTAGCTCATCTCAAGAGCTTTCCAAAACACTATAATTAAGTTAGTTTTCATTAAGTACTTTCCAAGTTATGAGGCTTGAAATCATTTTTTAATTTTACATAAACCGTAAAATATCTTGTAAAATATTCATTTTTCGATTATTTTACCTTAATACTTTTATGTACAAAATAATGAGAAGAATCAATTGGTGTAAAGAAAACTCATAGTTGTTTCGAAAAAAAAAATGTAATTTGCAATAACAATTACATATTTTTTCTTAAAAATAACTATGTCTTTTCTTTACACCAATTGATTCCTCTCATTATGTTGTACATAAAAGTATTAAGGTAAAATAATCGAAAAATGAATATTTTACAAGATATTTTACGGTTTATGTAAAATTAGAAAATGATTTCAAGCCTCATAACTTGGAAAGTACTTAATGAAAATTAACTTAATTATAGTGTTTTGGAAAGCTCTTGAGATGAGCTACAAGAATATGCAAAAGCATATAGGGTATCCCATTTAAAAATTTGGAGCTGACCTTCGCGTGTTCTTCAGGTGGCTCTTCAAGATCAAACTAATGACACCATCTTATGTCTTCCTTGAAACCATACAACTTTTGTCTAAAACATTTTTCTCTATCTTGCTTAGGTTCCGAGAAATTTAGGTGGTCGGATTAAAATGAAACATCCTGTATATATATATATATATATATATATATATATATATATATATGTATATATATTTCTTTCTAAGATCAAGATTTTTATTTGTAGAAAAAAGGAAAAAACCTAGCACATTATGTTAGTCCAGAAAAATGTGCTGAGGCATTAGAGAATATTAGAATATATGAAAAGGACCCTCAAAGTTTACGAAATAATATAGAAGATGTAACAAATAATATTTCACCAAGTAAAGACGAAAATAAAGAAATTAAAAAGAAAACTGTGAATAAGTTATTATGTGACATAAATGCAAAAACTTCTGATTCTAAAGATGACATTTTATGTATAATTTGCTTTGAAAAGCAACGAAATATACTTTTGAAACCGTGTGGTCACATATTGACGTGTGCCGATTGTTATAAAACAACGTTGAATGTGGAAAACTATAAATGTTCTTTTTGTGGTGAGAAAGTAAAGGGATCAATTAAAATTAGGATTATATGATCAAAATTTATAAACGAAGACTTGATACACACAAAACTTTCTCTTTAAGTATTTTAAAATAAGAATATTGCAGACAATCGATTCATCTTATATATTTAGTAAAAGACGTCATTTATTTGCATAAATTGTTTACAAGATTATAAGATAATAAATCGAGCAATTAACTTATAAAAATCGATAATTATATTTTTACAAATTATAAATTATTACAGAATTATTGTAAATTATGACTCAAATAAATATTTTTGACAGATATTGCGAAAGTTTTTAAAAATTCTTCATACCTTGTTAAAACGCTCGGAAACGTTTACGAAGTACATCGATATGAAATTGTATAAAAAGTATATAATAAAGTTTTGACGTATATATTATATAATACTTATGCCTCTTATGGCATTGAAAATATTGTTATATCAGTACCAATATTTCATCCAATAAATTATTGCTCTCAGTTATAGCTTCGGTTTATACATTATGCGAATTATTCTCAAAAAAGTGAAAAAATGCATTCTTGTTAATCGAGATTCGATCTAAGCTTCTTTAACAAGATTCTTTAAATGATAATATTGCATTTATCGCTTAGATAAAAATTGTATACATTTATTAATTCTAAATAATCACAAATTCATCAGTCGCTAAGTACCTTTAACTGAAACCTCGACTCAATAGGATCGTTTATATGAGCGTAATTAATACGTTCGTAATGTCCACCACTCCACTTATACATCTTTACACAGATACACAGACTACCTACAAGGTGCGCCTATATCAGACTACATTATTGATCAGACTGTCGCGAAAAATGCAATCCTGCGAGCAAAGTCAATTAATAAGATGACGAACTCTATGATTCCTTCATTATAAATAGCTGATCGTTTATCTTCGTTCGTTCATCTCGTAGTTTAGCTCGCGTATGCATTGTTGTTTCAGCCTTATTTCGGCCACTGGATATTTTTTTAATCGACTAGTCACGTTATTTCGCTTGTTTTGCTCTCTGTCCTATATTGCCCCTCTCGCTTCATCGTAGCGAGAACGATACCGTCGTTGCGACGCCTCTGACGATTCTGATGAGATTATTACGTAATCTCACACAATCGCTTTTCCCGCGCGATTGCACTCGTTCTGGGCTCGCTTCCCGTAAACCATCCTCCTTAAATCCGCATTTACGGGCGAACGGATGCAATTGTTATGTGACCAGCCAATTAATTAAAGACTTCAACGATACGCTTTTGCCCTTTCTGCCCATGCAAATAGATCCACACTGGGTATCGCCTCGAAATCTGTGCAGCGTTTCAATTCATTTCTGGAATATAAAAGATGCGATATTAAATAATAGATATAATAATAGGAATTTTGAGTATCTTTCAAATCTTGCCACAGAAACAACCGAACTTACCCGACTTGAGGCTTGAGGAACACATTGCGCTGCATCTGAGTAATATTTTCACCATTATCGCAGAATATTCGCGCCAAGGAAACATTATGCAATTGAGCTAATTGTTCTGTAATAAAGAAAGATAATTAATCAGAAGTGGAAATAAATAATGCACATGATTCGGAATGCATAAGATGAGGTGCCAACTTACCAGGCGTGAAAGGATGCGGTTGCATCACGGAATCGTAAAAGAACCTGTCGGTACGTCGAGACCGAGAGAATTGCTCGTAAATGAGACAACGGAAAGTCGGACCAACCATGCCGTCATCCGCCGGTCTCTCTGCCATACCGCCCACAATAAGATCGACATCATCGGGATGACCATAGATTGTACGCAGTTTGTTCACCGTCTGATAATAGATCGATGATAAATGTATCAATGATTTATTTATCTTAAGAATACTAAATGCAAGAGGAGAAACATTATTCAACTTACTTCTATGGGAATGTTATCTAAGAAATCGTCAAAGGTTTTGGCGGCAGGAAGTCCACAATGTCTACGATAATAATTATATACTGGCAAGCCATGATCGCGACCACGTTCAATGTCTAAGCTGACAGCATCCAAACCTAAATTATTGCCATTACTGTACAATTTGCTTGTCATCTGTAACGCAAAAATGACGATCGTTATGAAAAATTCTTTTTGATCGTATTATTATCAGCATTTATATAAAAGAAAAAAAAAAGAACGTTTGACTTACGTCTGAAATAAGGCTAATGTCCATTCTCTGGCTAGTCTGAGTAGCGAGACCGCGAAGTAATCCGTCAAACACTTCCTCCGATTCGATTACACGCGGATTGAAAAAATGCTCCGCCAGATTCAACGTTTTGTTCTGTTGATGAGAATTATCCGGTAAACTGAAACAAGAGAAAGAGCCATGAATATCGTCGTGCATATTTCTATAAAAATTATTCTTCGTACTGTAATATATATTATGTTTACCTTAGCTTTCCTTGCACCAGTGAGTTCAAGAAACGTAAGGCTGCGTTGGCAACCTCGTTGCTAACCGACGGTTCGTCGTCGGAATTATAATTACGACTGTAATGGGGATAGTTTCCTACGATGAGACCAACGGCACGAACGTATCTTCTGCCTAGTAAAATAGGCAACCATTCCTTATAAGTGATATGTTGAATCTCAGCAATTACGATCCGCCTGGCCTCCTGATACAGAGTCTCATCCGACCAATCTGGATTCAACTTGGCAAGATTATCGGCGATGCGATTATGTTCGCGATGCCAGATCGTGTGGAGCACGGCTAACTGAGGTTCAATATTCACACGATCGTCACCTGGTAAATAATAATAATTATTGAAATAATTTAAATTGTCTCAGAACCATTAGACATGATATATATATATATATATATATATATATATATATATATATATAAATGAAATTAACAAGTACCGGAATTGTAGCAATTTTCTCCGCATTGCGACGCGGCATCTCCTTTTGGCAAGTATGTGTGATTGTTTCGCACATCAACGCGAAGATGACCGTTTTCAAAAGTGCGAAGCTTACGAGATTTTATCCGGGTAGATCCGTAAATCGTTGAACCGTCCACAAAGTGAGTTACCTGATTCATCTGTAAGTTATATTTAAATTAATAGATTATTATTTGGATAATAAATTGCGCGAATCTTGAGTGATAATGAAATTTTTTTTTTAATTTTTAAGATAATCGTATTATATTTTTTTGAAATAAGATACTAAACATACTTTCGAATGTGGAAAATGATAATCGCGTACCTGTTCTATTGGCCCCAAAGTGCAGTCTGATTTTAAGACAGGCAATGAGCGAACATAATTCATGCATCGAATATCATGTTTGCCATAAACGGGATCGCCATAGGACACGCTGATGGGAGAACAATCTGGATGAATATGGCGCGGTAATAGGGTGTCTCCATCACGCTGACAGCAAGAAATCGGTTTTCCATTTGAGACTGTAATTAAGAAATAATTCCTTTAATGATCAAATTATGACAAAGAGAATTGACGTAATTTACAGATTTACACGATAGTTTGCTTTGACGTATCATTTCTAGATTAGACGTATCTGATTCTGATATTAATACAATGACATTTTTTAAAGAAATTTTTCAAGAAAATATATCACATGATTTACCTAACGAGAAATATATATTTTCTATTATTAAAATTTTGATTGAGATTACAAAATTATATCAAATAATTATCAATATTTAAATCGGCTTGTAGCAATTTTCTTTGTAATTACTTGTGCAACAAGTGAGATATTAATCCATCGATAGAGATTGATGATTCAAATTAGATACACACGTTTAAATTTATCCATACAAATTTATCCACTCACCCATTTTACGTACTGCGGTGTGAGCTATGTCGTGAGCGATGAATTGGCTCCATTCCATTACGGCCAGTGTTCTGCTAGCATCCGATTGATCATTGGCAGTGGATAAAGCGGCGCTTATGAGCCTCGGACTTGGCAGTGGTCTCTTCGTATGTCCGATACGCCTCGATTGTTGGAAGCCTGCCCAAATCGAACATTAGATTTCTGCCTGCGTAAATAGTCAAAGTCGCAAAATCGGAGTAAATCGGTGCTACTTTGGCGCGACGTGGTGCTTTCGTCGAATATTCGCGAGACAGAATAAATCATAATTATCGAGTTACAAGAGCAAAATCATAACGGAAAACGATACGACAATTCATAAAATGATCAGCTATGAACGGGAACACGCTCACATGATGTTGAAACGGCATCATATATGCCATTGTCATTGTGATTACTCCGATTTTGGCGAGCTGAAATACGCGCGCGCGCTTAAAATGGTACGCGTGGCAGTGCAGCACGAGAGAAGTTTATAAAAATATCTATAGCTGGATATAAATATTCTGTTCTAGCTACAAATAGGCGGGTTTATCGCCAGCTGTACCAATCTCGAGATCCTAACTGCGCCTACCTGCCTTGCTCGCGCGATAAATTTAACAGGGAACGATCAGGGGAGTAATTTCGTTTGCATTGTGACATATATGAAACGAATCGTAAACCAGCGTGCTGATGTAATCGTATCATTCATTCGCGAGAATGAATTTCATTCCTGGCACTGATCGGTCCCTGAAGAATCCTAAATCTCGTGCTGCAAAGCGAGTCGGTACTTCGACTACAACGACTTCTACGTTCTGATGCGTTGTCGAATGACGAGCCGTTTATTGCTGCTGTTAAAGAGAGACGCGATTGTGAAACGAATATATAATCGACGTCCTAGCATCGAAGTTACGGCCGCCCGGATCGAGAACGCTCGCAGAAACGTCCCGCGAACTTACTTGTAGATGATCGATAAAGGCATTCGAACGAGCGAACCGAGCTGGGAGAAGATTCTAAATTTTTTTCGCGATTTTTAAAGATACTATTTTTAAAGAATTCGTCGCGAATGTGTTTCTACGAGCAATTTCAACGACTGTTAAAAGTTGAGACATTCAAGCGAGAGAATAAAGAGTATCTCTATTTTGTCAAATGTAAAATTTAAACTTGGGAATATGCTATGCATCTACTTCATCTCGAAGCGCGTATATTACGTAAAATATGTATTGGCCGGCAGATATAATTGGAACTACCTATTTAAGCGCGGCCAAATTAGATATGACTCCCAAGTCGAGTTCCCTCGCTCGGGTACCTTCGCGAGAGCCGCGTATTGGCGCGAATTGAACAGAAAAGAATTCCAACTAGTGTTATATAATAAATATGATACATTATTAGGTATATCCGAATTAGTTTACATACACATTTTCTACTGCTGGATAGAATCTCCCGACCGGGGCACCCTATTGTAGGCAGTATTATTCACTGCTACACTCAGGCATTTTATGCTCTATGTGCCTTATCGCACAACAACTGTAATGCAAATCACAGAATATAATTTGTTAAGCCAATCGACGAACGTTTATCCATTTGCGCCCAAGGATCAGTATGTATATTTCTATATATGTGTATATATATATATATGTGTGTATGCATGTATGCATTTAGTAATAAATCGACATACATACGTACATATTACATATATGTGTCTACGTTTGTATATGTATATACGTGAATGTGTTTTACGGAGATGATAAGTCGGATAGGGTAGGTTGACAGATCGAGGTTGCTGGTTCGCGTGATAAGACTAAGCATCTAAAGATGCTATTTTGCTTGGATTGAAAAATAAAAAATGCGATATCTAATCGGTAGGCTTTGGATGATACCGGCCCCTTAAAAAGTATAAGTACAAGTACGCGACATAAATAAGTGACGTATAAATTGCGAGAACGAATTGCTCGCAATTTTATCGTGAATTTTCCGCAATGCGAACTTTTTAACGTTTTCATTACGCTATTTATAGATTAGATTTTTCTGTGCGTGATATTACAACAAAAAAATATCGATTATCGACTATCTATTATATCGAATATGGCTTTTTTATGAGCGCGATAACCGTGAAATAAAAGACGTGACTATGTTCCTATCGTACGAATGATATTCAAGATATCGAATTCTCGTATACATCTGATATCCTTTTGATAAAAGATAGTTTTTATCATGTTTTCATATTCCTATTTTTTAAATTTCAATCCATAAATGCGATATTTTATCTTGTTTTTAATATTACAGATTAAAATAAGGCCAAAATATTACAAATAAAAAATGAAAATAGTGAGCCCCGATTTTTCATTAATGTTCGGTATTTAATCTCTACGGAATACGAATAGATTACTGTTATAATTTAATATTCTTCATTTATCATCATTTTTTTAAGTATTGATTTCAAATTCGCATGTTCCATATTCTAGGATTAAAGTGTATTAATTAAACACTTAAAAAAATTCCAAGTGTCTTCGAATCTATTATACTCGAAAGAAAGCGCGCAGGACAAGAAACTAAATGCATCAACATGAATGGCATTGACATAACGCGGGGAATGCAGTGCGTCGTTTGGTGAATTTATATTCCATGTAACAAGAAGCTCGAGAATTTTGCAAGTCCGCAGAAAGAAGATACAATAATAATCTGACTCGGGTGACCTCGAGTGAAATGAAAACAAATTACGCATCCCTCTTTATCTACGCTAGCATAGCCGTAGTATGACACATGTATTATCGTTCTACTGCAACTGGTCGAATAGATAATATATAATCGCCGCATGGTCATTATTTCTAACTGTCATTTCCAAATAAAAATATTTATAGGGATGACGGCACGAACTTTTATCAGCACATACCTTGTCGCGATGACGCATTCCCATCGCTATGTCTTCTCGAAACGCACGTAACGATATAATCGATATGCAACTGCGAACGAGTAAAGCAACACTTACCTAACACCGATTATTATTCGTTACATTCGCGGTAAAAATTCCCAGTAAATGTAAGTAAAAAAATTCCGCGTAATCGAATTAAATATCGTGGAAAACTTTCAATGTTTTGTAATCTCATATTTCCCATTCGTTACGACATATTGTTATCGATACTTCGATTCGAGAAACTCACGTATGACACGATTTCGCAACTCTGATTTATTGAAAAAAATCTTGTCTCGTTCGAAACTGATCCTATTACAAGAAGCAAATAAATCTCCTAAGGAACGGGATGAGCAGAGGGAGGGGAAGGGGACTCTGATTCGAATGGAATTGCGGGAAAGAAGGGAGAGCGCAAAACGTTCAGAGGCTGCAAATAATTGTACCATTATTATTCCACACAAGAATTAACGACAAAGAGTTTACGACAAAGAGCGCGCGTTACGAAATTTCGTCCCGTGCAAAATCCCAAGGGGGAGGTTTGATTTGCGCGCGGGGGCTGCTTACGTTTCGCGACTGGGTCGAAAGTATGATGTGACGCGCGATCAGCAATTATTTCCCTAATAATCTATAGCGACGTGACGATCGATAAGCAATTTCAAGCCTGGACGAGTGATGATGAGGGAACGATGCCATATCGCGAGCTAATGTCGTTGACAAATGGGGCCGTGGCGGGGGGGGGGGGGGGAGAAGGCTAGAGAAAGAGAGGGAGCGCGATCACGATAGGAGACACCCTTACCGTCAAAATATTGGGAGAACAGTACTCTAGAGTATGCGGTCATTGCGCTGCCCCAGCTCGGATTTTCAATGTTGTTGCAAGTGCCGTCGATGCTGCGGTACTTTAACTTTTCATTGCATTCCATGTTATGCATCGCGGCGCAAGATTCACCGAGCGGGGTGCCCTGTAGGCCGAGAGTCGATATGTGATGGGCGCAGTCATTATTATCTAGACCGAACCTGCGATAAAATAAAAAAAAATTGAAATATGAATTATAATTAAATTTTGATTATATGATTAAAATCGATTGTAATTAAATTAATTTCGGCCCGCGAGAAGAATATCGAATGACAGATGAGAGTAAACTATATGTATTAATAATATTACAGAATCTATATAAATTGTATAGTGAAATATCGAAAACTTGACGATTAATGAAGAAAGAAATTGTTGAAAAATATCTTGATTAATAATCGACACGTACCTTCGGCACTTTAGATCTCTGAGGTATAACGATGCTTTCCCCGCTACGATTGCATCGATACTCCTTTCAAAAGCATCTGCCGAAGGATTAGAATTCCAGAATTGTTTCTCAGCCGGACTCTGCGCCTGGAGTTCGATACCGGCATTCGCGAGATTTCTTTCAAGAGTGTTCAGCTTATCGACTATCGCCTGCGCATATGTGATGGAATTGTTTAGGGTAGTTCCATCGATCCTGGGAAATCTTCGATTTTCTCGACGGACCGTGTTTACGATGACATCGGAGTCATAGTTAATGGCTGGTAATCCTGAAAGCGGTTCTTTGAAATATTTCGAAACAATGAGTGAATTATAATTTATAAATAACATGCGATGTATCGGAAGATGGCTTGAATTTTTGTTCCGAAATAAGACCGATCAAATGTTATCGGCATGTCTGGATTAGATCCAAAATAATTGCTAAATTGATGCGAGTCCAGAAATAGATAGCGCATGTAATCATGTAAAAATACAAATTTACTTTTTCATCAAAAATATGCGATTTTATAAAATAAAATAGCATAATACGTAATAAAATATATTCAAAAAAGACCATAGAAACACGTTTCAACATTATTAATTATGCGACATTAATTTCAACTGAGATATTTACTACCAAAGTATTTTCATGGAAGTATTTGCGGCAATCATAAAATTGCTTCCTCAATTTTTTGCGGTGTGAAATTTTTAATTAAATTCAAAATTGAATTGCGGTAGATACTTACCAGTGTAACTGGCAAGATAAGTCTGCAGCGACTCGGGCAGCTTATGCGTGCCGATTGAGTGGGAATGTCCTAGGAAGCCCAACGTCTGAAGGGACACCCAGAGGATCGCCAAAGTGGCAATGGAACCCGCCATAACACCGCCGGCTGCACAAAATGAAATGACCGACTAGTAAGATCATTGAGACGAGATGCTCTACTCTGCATCCCAACATGTATGACTCACGCACTCGCACTGCGTTTTAACTTATACGCGCGGCGCAAAGTGCGCGACGTCGTTGGCTCTTGTCGCGAATGTAAATGTAATATTAATATCGCGTAGCTCATCCGAGGAAGGATGTCGCTGCGCTTCGTTTGGCTCTCGTCCCATTAACGAATACATACATAACAGATATGCATATAGTGCACAAAGAGCATTAATTAACGACGAATTAATGAATCTATGTTTCTCTTATCATTTCGCACGTTGGTGAAGATGTGACAATCGGAACTTGATTCTTATCTCACGTTGATATTGAACGCGGTCTTCATATCATACACATTCAAAGCACTCCGATTAAATATAATTAGTCCGATTTAATCGCTCTAATTATCTAGTATAATAACGCTAATTTTATTTAACGCTATTTAACGTATTTGAAACACGCGCCCACCTATATGTAAATTTAGTCTTTAGAGCAGAGAATTCTATTTTCTCATTCGTAGTAAAAGATAGAAATGGCCTTTGTGTTCACGTGCTCGATGAATGTTACGATTCTCATTGGTGTGAACTGAAATATCAGATATTCTAAAAAAACTTTCGCCGAGTCAGTGAAACGCTTACCGACTCTGTTACGTCGTTTTAATTTAATATTAATTTAATTAATTAAATTATCTTCGATATTTTTCTCGTTATGAAAATCATTGATATTTTTTATTATTGTCAGCATGTTTTTTAGTGTATAATATATTCCGCGATATTAAATTTTACGATATAGACGACACAGACGAGACGTTTAACCTCGGTGAATTTCCAACGAAATGTATTTGCATTTCAATGAAATGAGAATGAAATATTTAATAAATAATGTCAACATTTCAAAGATGACATGCCGCTCTCTGGAAGATTTAAAAATATTTTATAAATAAATTCACATTACGTAATCGCGATGGTATAAAAAATAAAAGTGCATCTTGCGTTGTTAAATTTAGGGTCAATCAAATGCATAGGTAGATGTAAGTGTTAGATAATAGGCGGCGTATTTTTTCACCGACGACCTTCGTGTATGTTGTCGGTTATTTATAGAGAGACTATATCTGTGAAATAACGTGTGCCTGTGTGTGCAATTCCTACTCGTATCTCGTTAATGTGGTAAACACGCGCTGTTCACGTGCATAACGCGTGGCCAGATGCGGGCAACTCTATTCGTTATCACGTTGATAAGACCTCCTCTTCCACAATTGCATGTAGCGAGTGTGTTTTGACGACATTGACAAGGCAAATAAGAGTTACGAATTTCCGTCTGTCCAGAATTAGACCCAAATCAAATAATTCACTCAACTGCCTACGACGAATATATTTTGCTCAATCTTCTGCGATATTATTGAATATGATAAATATGTCGTGTATTTTAAGATTATTATTCATTAATTATTATATATTTCGAAAGAAGATTAAATTTGTTTCATCCAGAAAGATAATGCAGATAAATGAATTAAATGATAATGTTTATTAATAATATATAGAATTATTGTATAATAGCATTTTTTATTAAATTATTAATTTGTATTAAATTAGTAATTTAATATTACTAATAATATCGTTTATATTATTCTCTTAAGAGACTTTGGGTGGATTTTGAGTATCTAATAATATGTCAACTAATAATTTTTCTCGTAATTATAGATCGATATCTCATATAGAATCAAGTATCTATTTTGATCTTGAAAGCGATAACGGCAACTTCTATAAAAAATTTTTCTTGTAAATTAATGAAGCTGTTGACATGTATGCAAATTGCAGCTGGTCGATGTGCAACATCATAGTGAGTCTTTCCTATATATGTCTATAGCGAGCAACAAAACAGCATAATTAAAAATGCAAACGTTCATTCGCGAGACACGTGAACAACGAGAATCGCGACGTGATAGCGCCACCAATATTAGCATATTCTGTAAACAGATTTAACTCTTGTCGGGAACAAAAAAAATTTATTCTTTCCCTTTATCTATTTTTCTTCATATTTGATGTGTTTACAAAGTAATGTGATGTATTCTCATGATTGTTTAAGCACACTTCATGCTACAAGTGTACTCAATGATAACGATATCATCTCAAATTCTCTATCTCTCTCTTTCTCTCTCTTTGTCGAATAGATTATGTACGTAAAAAAATATATAATTATTTTTCTAATTTCGAAACATTGATCCCTTCATGAGGATAATATATTCCCTATATCGATACTTGTAAATACATCTGATAAATCATTACCGGGCACATGATCCATAGGCTTCTCCAATCCGTGCATTGCGTAGACCCAACGATTATTGTCGACCGGTGCGACGAGAAACATTCTCCGACAAAACGCAGCCAGGTGCAGCGAAAGAATTCGCGATTTGTCGTTTTCTCTACGTGTTTAAGTAAATCGTCAGGACAATTGGAACAATTCTTCACGCGAGTTACCGCGATCTCGTCGGCTTTCTTAGAAAGCAAATGTCCATGGATCTCGCGGCAAGAAACGACACGAGTTCACGAATTAACACACCTGCGTCAAGTGTACTCGTGGCGACCGACAGAAACGCACTTCGACGATGGCAACAACGACGGAGTTTCGTGCTGCGAATACACAGATTCCCCTCTCCGTTGCTCCTTCTCCGTCTCGCTAAGCAGCTTATCGAAGTGCCTTCTCGCACTCGTGCCATTCATTTATTTATGCGAGTAATCTCGGTCCCGCCCCCTTTTTTATCTCAAACTGAACGTGAGTGTATGCGAAATTGCGATATCGACGAAAAGATGCTCGACTATGTTTATCGATTCTCGAAATATGCGTTATCTCTTTGTCCCTGGCCCTGATTCATTAAAGATACGTTACTGAGTAAAATCTTATATACGGTGCATCGTTCATCTCGCTCCTCCTCGTATACCTATATCGCGGCTCCGCTTTTACGTCTCGCTCCATTCATCCTCTCTCTCTCATTCATTCTATCTGTCTCCCTCGATCACGTGCACACGCTACGCGCATTGATTCCGAAGGTGTTCTCCAGCTCGCTCCTTTCTTCATTATTTTTCGTTCATTTCACTCTGCACGCTGACTCGCGCGCATTTTCATTGGTTCGCCGCTTCCCCACCAAGAGTGAATCACCTTATTTAGCTCGGAAAAAAAAATTCTATCACTCGGTGAGCACGTGCTCGTCCACCTCCTTTTCCCCATCGTACTCCGTTGTATGCCGGCTATCGGAGCATTGCCGTAGGATTATTGTATTTCTTTTTTCGATAATACTTTAATTCATTAATTTTATCCTACATTTTTATCAGCGTTTAATCATACACTTTTTTTGTACGATATTGATGTAGATGTAACATGGAAAAGGTATCAAAATATTTACTCTAGATATTGATGTTTTCACCTTTTTACGTTATCTATAAATGTGTGTAAGCATATCTATTCTTCATCATCGATTTTTGATATTATTAAGTGATCATGTTTCACATTATTTTATGATTATATTAAAATTATAAAGATACTTCGAATATTGAATTATGTATATTATTAAGAGATCTTGTTTCACATTATCATTGATATTAAAATGATAAAGATTAAATTATTACTCACGAATATTATAATTAAATTGATAATTTTTTATTTTAGATATTAGAAACGATAAAAATAAGGGAGCTTATTGAAAAAAGCAATAATAATGTTACTATCTTACATTATCTCATGCTTAGCAAGAATACAATATCACTTTTATTATAGATAAGGCTTACACACACACATACACACACACATACACACAAAATTGAACTTTATATAATATAATAGATAATAATAAATAATAAATATAATAAATATAACAAATATAATAAATAATAATAAAAAATATAATAAAATTTTTGTATATTGAATCTATATAATCTATACTTTTAAAGATAAAAAGAAATTTTGATTTGTTTAATTTATTACATTTCCATTTAAATGTACTTTAAATTCCCTTATGGAACTATAGTTCTACTACTTCCGTGCATTCTCCTATAGATCTCTCAGTACTTTTCCATTACTTTCGCCGTAGCCATATACAGGGTGTACAAAAAAATAACGTAATTTTCTCTATTTTTTAATTAAATTTTAATTTTCTTTATTAAATTTTTATAGAGTCTTTTCTTTAAAAAAATAAATTTCTTTAATAAAAATTCTAATATGATGCATGTGTATATTTTAAATGTTGATAAACAAACTAAAAATGGTAGATATCTTTTCACATCGAAAAAAGATAAATTCGACAATGTTTCTATATATAAATCTGATACCAAAAAGAGTAACTCTAAGAGTAACAAAAGAGTAACAAAAACTCCACGTGTATGACATTTGATGACATTAGTCCAATAAACTTATGATTAAATTACAGATAGAGTTTATTAAATTACTGCTGAGTGATTCGCGCGTGTGAAATAATGCCATATAAGACTTGCGAAACAATGATAAACAACTTGATTGAAAAGTATCATTGCCAATAAAAGATAATATAAATGATAGATCGTATAAAAAACTTCTAGCACTTATTCGATTAAATTAAATCTTGATAATAAAACTTTTATGATCAAAGGAGGATTTATAAAAAGAATGAGTCGAATGTCACTTATGTACAGAAATTATAAGATTATATAAGAAATAACTGAGTATTTTTTAAAATAATATTTAAGATATTTTAAGATATTCTTTTTTTTATTCATAAAATTTATTGCAATTATTTATATAATTATTTATAAATTATTTTAAATTATTAATAAAATAAATAAATAGAAGGTATGTACATTCGCGATATCAATTATATATTTTAGACATAAAGAAAGATAAATCACAAACAAAAAAAACGAGGTATTTTTTTTACTTTACAATTTTTTATTTGCACATTTGATGTAGGCATGATAAATAAAAAGAAAATAATAAGAAATTTTCCTTCTTTTTTAGAATATTTGGACACACACACACACATATATATATATATGTATACATGTGTATGTTTGTGTGTGTGTCCAAATATTCTAAAAAAGAAGAAAAATTTCTTATCATTTTCTTTTTATTTATATATACATATATATATATATATATATATATATATATATATATGTATAATACGAATAAATGCAAGGATTTTTAAGAATAATAATTGCTTAATTTATATATAATGACATTTAATTTATTTCTTACTTTGCTTCATCTTTTTTGAAGAGATAAATTGATGAAAAATTACTGGAAAATATTAATTGAAAAATTGAAAGTCATCTTATCATTCGATCTGTAGATATCTTTCTCTAAAAAATTGCATAATAACTAAAAGTTTATTTCTAAAATTTTAACGCAATTTAGGCCGATCCCTATAATCGACGGGTATCTTGTCATGACAATGCATGCAGAACTTTCATCGTGACGTTTATTCGCGACGATGCGCCGCGTGTCATTCAGGTCGACGAACGCGGGCTTACCTAAATACGATTTGTTGCAGCGTTCTATTCGCAGATAGTCGTCTAGGCAGTCGAATACCTCAACGCCCATCTTTTTTCCTCTGGAATGAATGTTGAGAGGGCTGTGGGAGACGCCCTGGTTGCTCGCGGAAGTTACACCGATGATCACGGCTACTCCTCGCGGGAATACGCGGTGCGCACTAATTATATGTATATATATACATATATCCACCCGTCCAATATCCACCCGGGATCAATATGTACCCGAATATCGGCTCGCGCAACTTCCCCCTTTCGCGCCCCTGAAGAATCGCGATTTGAGGATTCTTTTGTGAACAAACGAATTTTATGCCGGCACTACTCGTACAAATTTCTTTTGTATGTCAAATTAATAAAACGAACGGAGTCCAACCACGGAGCAGCTGATTCTGCCGCATCGACTCCGAATTTGGTTTCCCTATCCTACGCTCGGTCGATCGAAGTTTCTTACCCTCCCTTTACGCATGCGCCTTTTGATCACGGAAGTCGCTGTGCGTAGGTCTATGTCGCGCTATAAACATAGCGTAGATTGTTCATAAACAAAAATCAGATGTGGAAATGCAACAACAGAGATAGCATTTAATGAGCTTTATCTTTTTTTTTCTGTAAAAAATACAACCTTACGAAAAAATTTGCTAACCGAAAATTAACTTTTAATTTTATATCTTTAATTTAATTAATTTTTTATTAAATAATTTTATTTTTTCTACTCGAATGAATAGATTTTTTCCCCTTACAGATGGAAATAAAAGCAATTTATGCATTCTATGTTTATGAATTTTGTTAATACCCTGTATACTTTATATTGTATCGAGAATGTCGGTCAATGTCAATGTCAACGACATTTAATAATATGTTGATGCTAATTGCATCGCTTATTTAATCTTGCAACTTGTCTGACGATTGTCTGATTATTCGATGACATAATAATAAGAAATCTGAATAAATTTATTACATAATGAAAATGTAAATTCTCATGTAAAATACTAAAGATGCACCACGATCATTAATTTTAATTTTAATAATAGATTCTCAATCTAAAATCGATTTTATCTTATTTAAAATGGCGAGACATTAATAATTTTTAAATTACAAACAATTGAAAATAAAGGAATTATCTGTAGGAAAGTAATTATGAAAATTTTTATGATGCATTTAAAAGCAATAAATCTTATTATTTTTTTTCAATTATAATGTAACATCAAAACTTAATTTAAATAATTTTCAAAATTTTAATAAAGATTTAATATATCCATTTGTTCAGCATCCTTGGATTTTTTAAATAAAATATATTTATATAAAGAAATAAAAAAAAGAAACAAAAAGAATTGTATGATATTAACTCGATCTGCTAATTATTACTAGAGATGAAATGACGATAAAGCAAATTTGAGATAAACCGAATTTCAATCCGAGTGCTTCTCAAATGCCTGTAGAGCGCTGAGAATAGCAAGAAGCAGTAAAGAAGCCGGTTGAACTAGCACGTGATACGAACGTGATTGTGAATCTATGAACTTCTCGCTTTATCTCTTTCCTAATCTTCCTCCTAAAGAAATCGGTTGCATCGCTATGCAACTCTATTTCTTTTCTTTCTTTTTTTCTATCATTTATATGAATTTAGATATGAATATAATTTTCTATTTTTCTCCTTTTGATTTTCCCTCTCTATTTCTTTTTTTAATTTTGATAAGCGAGATATATCAAAATTAAGAATTAATAATAATTGATTCTCATTTTACAAATTCATTTTTAAAATATAACTTTCTAATTGATACTAAAATGATTTTTGTTTAATGAAACGATATTCATATATTTTCTGATTGTTTATTAAAAAAATTTGTATCAAGTATATATTTTTTTTCTACAAAGGAACATTTCATTAAATTGCAGAATGCATATAATAGTATCAAATTGATTTTATACAACTGTAATATAACTAGTGCCTACAGAGGCATCTAAGAACACAAATCGTAACTCTCTAGTAATTTATACGTATCAAACAATGATAATAAACTGATATTTAAGCTGTTTTGAATTTTGAAAGTATGTTATATATTGTGCTATATTATACAATATAATTTTAATATAAAATCCTTGATATGAACACGCAAAGGATAAAAAAATTGCGAAGATTTTAGAATATAGAATTAATATTCGAAATTTGAA